ATCCCTAACGTTCTGTGATTCTGTGATAATCAAATGATCTTTCCCTTGCTCTGACTTGTCCTTTATGCTTCATGAAACAGGAAATATTTGCCATCGAGTTCCAAGTACATCTTTTATAAGAGAATTACATTGTCTCAAGTCAAATATGTGTTTTATTGTCTATGTCAAAACAGTACACAAATTAAATGGAAAAAAAAGTTATATATCATGTAATGACATATGACAAAGCTGAATGTTTAGTATAAATGTATTTCTCAGCCTTTTTAAGTTTACCAAAATACATTTTAGTTCTATTCCACTGTACAATGCTTAACCTGTACCTATACTAATGAACTATACACACAGCAAAAATATGATGTGTCCTTAAATTCCTTTTTACCTATATATAAAGGAAAGTAAAAACATCTGTGACACAAACGACTATAACTAATTCTTCTTCAGTACCACAAAGATAGCTTGTAAGACATCCTTCGCTATTATAACACACTCCCATCCCCAAACTACAAAAATAGCTACTCCAGAAAGACTATAGATTTGATTTCAGCAAAGTCTTAATTCCCCTAATAGCAGTGAACCTAAGTGTGTCTTACACATTTTTACAATAATTAATTCTCTATTAACAACACAATTAAATGAAACAAGCCCTACCCAATTCAATGCATCCACCGATGCCAAGAAGAGATGCTGCACTGTGATAAAGAGGCAGAGTAATGTAAATTATGTCTTCTGCAGTAGCACCAAAAGCCCCGAGTCCAGCAGCTCCTCTAAGAACCTGCATGTGACTGATGACTGCAGCCTTTGGAAGACCTGTAATGAAAACACAAAACCATGCACAAAGCTTCTTTTAAAGAGAACTTGATTTATTTTGTTTCCTGTGTAAGGTCTCTAAAATCATAAAAGAATCAACTTTTTCTTCTGTAACCAAATTTTCAGCCATCTGCTTAGATGGCTGTGAATAGACAACTGGCTGTTAGTACAGTATTGCATGTTTGTTCTGTAAACATAAAGATACATAAACCAGTCTGTAACTTCATCTGTTAGTTACTTAATCTGACGTCAAGTCAATTCAAATAGATGGATACATGAGGAAACTCCATGGTGAGCATGCTATCAAATTATATAGAGCCAACAAAGGGCCAAAAAGATTTACTGCACATATGAACTTTCATGGATATAAAAAGGCATCACACTAAATATCAGGCACGAGTCACAGTGACTAATTTAATTAAGAATGTTATGGGATAAACACAAAGTAGATCATGTAGTGGGTGCTTATTTAAGGTGTGTACATCTAAGTCTACCTATTTGTTTTAGAATACTCTGAAGGTTATGTTAAAAAAAAAATCCAGCATAAAGTTCACCCAAGTTAGGTTCTTGCTAATGAGCTCCTTCAACACAGAATTTCTGTTCAGCAACATTCAAACTCACATGCAAGAGCTTCTCGGGCTACTACTTTGATACCCATTATTTTGAGTAGGGGATGTGTTCTTGCTTCATGTATGTTCTCACATACACACACAAATTTCAGGATGATATCTGATGATGAACAGTAAGAACTGTTAAAAATTTTTTTAAAACCTACTAGTTCCGAAAGTTTTCTGACTTATTCTAGCAAAGCTATCATTTGTTGGAAGACTTAACTAGAGCTATTATCAGGAAGCGTAATCTACGGAGATTCTACAGTAAGTTTACCAGACATTAATTTCAGGAGCAACACTATTGCTTTATCAAAAAGTGTGAAAACGCTCAGATATTTTAGATTACAATTAGTTATTCCACACTCTTCAGACTAAACAAACCTTATTCTTTTAGTTACGTGGTATATAAAAGAAATCCTATGTAAATTAATGCAATACATATAAGTATTTTAAAATAATTTAAATTCTACCTAACTAAAACTTGAGACATCATACAGATATTCTGAATGCAGTTATAAGAACAAAATCCTCCTACCTGGCAAATTCTGCAATATATTTTTACCTAAAACTCCTTACTTCTAACAAATAAGTTCAATCATATTTATATTAGTAGCATTACAAACATACCTGACCTCTTGACAATATGTATACATTCCTAAATGTTTTATTCTAGACTGACATTTTTATTTCCTAATTTTTCCTCAGAAAAATCGAAGCTAATAAACAATTATTTGTATGAGGGAACGAAGTCATATACATCTTCATTTTAAATCTTCTTGTGACGAAAACTGTTGAGTTGAGCTCAATGAGAATGCCAATCTGCTTATCTTAACAACAACATGCTGCTTTTCATGTCAGTGATCAGATTTTTTTAGTCTTAACTTCTTAGCTCCTGGAGTGCTGGTAATAAATTCAGTCATCTGTTTCTAACCTAAAGGGCTAGGAACTTAATCCCGTTTTCTGTCTCTACAGTGACCTGCATAGAACATGACTTAATGAAGAAAACACAAATGTCTGTTTGCTTGCTTGAAGATTATTTTTAAGTTCTAGACACAATGCTAGCTCTATTAGCTAGGCAGTGGTATGTGATCACAAAACAATATTTATCATCATTGTAAATTCACTAAAAAAGCAAAACGTTCTATAAACAGCTTAGCTGTGAAGTAGTAAGAGGTAAAGTTTCTCACAGTATTTGCACAATGTGACAGGAAAATAATGAAGAGAAGCCCATAAACTATGGAATATAAACAGTCACTGACAAGAAAGGTGCTTATTTTCTACCATAATACTTCTAGATAGGAAATATGATATTCTACTGTGAAAAAATGAACCAAAGGATTACAGAGTTTCAGAAAATCAAGTTTTTAGATTAAAGCTGAAGGAAAATATAGACACCTTAGCAGACCTGTACCTGTTGTTCCGGAAGTAAATATATATAAAACAGACGAATTGAGGTTGTTGGTAGAGTGTCGATTAACTGGAACAGGGTCTTCAGGTGCAGCCTCTATTTTGTCTAAAAGGGTATGCACACTTGGAGAAGTGGAGTCTTTGGTCATTATCCAAACACTGACATCTTTTTGGAGATTAGGAAGAATTTCTTCCAGTGTCCCAAGCAAATCTTAAGAATTAACATAAAACAATGTTACTTAGATTATGTCTTCACAAAACTAGTGAATAAGTATTTTTCCTCTGAAAGTTTTACTTTTTATAATAGAAAGAGAAATGAAAGTTACCTCCATGGACACAAATAAATTCAACAAAACTAGCATGAAAATTCACTGAAAACAGGACATAATGTGGTAAAAATACTGCTGACCTCACAAAGTCTACTTGTCACTAGCCCTCAAGGCAAAATGGCAAGCCATGATTACTAGCTCCTGCTTCCTGCCTCATTTTGGATAACCCTTGCTCACTGCTAAGCCTGGAATGGAGTGTTGTTAAGCTTCAACTTCAAATAAATCATGAAGAAATCTGTTGAAGATGTATGGCAAATATATGTATAGCTGGTAATTACAGTGCAGGTTTCCCTGGATGCCCTTGGTAACAATTTCTCACCAAGCAGTATTTTTTTCAAAAGCACAGAAGTGACTAATTTTAAAACAAACACACAGACAAACAAAGAACCATATCATGTATGTAGGCACCTGAGTCTTACAGAATAGAAATATGATACAGGCCTGTGGCTTATTCAGACAATGTCAGAGAACCACATGGCTATTTATGTACTGCTTTGAGTGGTTTAGATACCTTAATGAATCTGATTTTAGGTACATTAGACAATTTTATTTTGTTACAATCACATGCTTGTTCACTGAAAACCATTCCTTCTATTGTCTTTTACCTGAATATAAACACAAACTCACTTTTATAAAATAAAATCAGCAGTATAACTAAGATCTATTTCGTTGGTTTATCAGGAAAGAAACCATGAGAGAGTCCCAGATTAAACAAAAAGAAAATACATTAATGGAGGCCATTCCTTAAGTAATATATCCGGTATTTTTGTTTATACTTCTAAGCATTTTTAAAAATCTGTCACTTTCTCAGAACACTGCATAGGCATTAAAGCACTAATCCAGGAAAATTCTCAAGAATAGGAATAATACTGCTTTCAGTAGAACTATTCATATACTTAAAGACTCATTGACACTTAAGTGCTTTGCTGGATCTCAGGCTATATAATTAATCTTGCAAATATCCCTGTGGGTATAAATTTATGTTATTATCTCTGTTTTCATAGACAAGTAAACAAACAACGTTGACATGACTCACCCAGAATCCCATAATGAGGCATTGCCAGAGTCAGGATTTGAAAACTTGATGTCAACTCCAAGTTCATTTTGTAAATATTAAATATAGATACCGTTAACAGAACCCTCTAGCATAAATTTTACACCAAAATAATTGAAGATTTTTAATCTTTCAGAAAACTACTTTCCCTAACGACAAACAGTATGTATTTTAATTAATGGCATACTAATCTCTACTACTATAACAGAGACAAAGCCTTCAGTCATCAACTAAATGTATGTCTTACAAACCTAAGGCCTAGAGAGTAAAAGTTCTATATATTTTATGAACGTTTAGCAAATAGATCTGATGGAGTGTGACATTAAAATTTCTGAGTTCTAACTTCCTTGCACTGCAGAATGATTTCAGGAAGAAGTTACCCAAATAATTATGAAAATCTGAAAGACAGATAGTGTCTTGTTTGTATCATTGGAGTACAGTTCTCTTCCACTACTAATAACAGTAGAATGAAAAAATGTGACTAAAAAATTGTGTTTAGGACAATAATGTTAACTGCAAGAAACTCTATGAACCAAAAATCAAGGTTCATTGGCATATTAATTCTGTTATGCTGTCATATTAAAATTGGGGTATATTTTTCAAGTAATAAATATGAAAATATAACAGTACTATTTCTAATGACAAACAGCTACTAATAAACCAGGTGTGACAGAATGACTATATACTTATTACCTTCTACTACCAATTTTTGTCTTCCTATTATGCATATACATATATCTCTCCTAAATACACTAATGATAGTTTGTGTAGGTACAAGTAAGGCTGAGAACCTAGCAAAAGAAACACAGGTGTTAGAAGTGGCTGGACCTTCTTTTCTGTTCTCAAAATTAGTAAAAAAGTATAGCATTCTCTGTCATTCTTTATTGGTGCACCAGCTCCAGCAATAGTGCCAGTAAAGATGTAAAGGTTTGTTAATTTTAACAGATCATTAAGAATTTCTTGGCTCTTCCAGCTTCCAGTCTTCCACTTGAATCAGACTCAGCTGTCCATTCTCTGTAGCATCCTTACCAGATAAAAAACGTAATGTACAAATATTGAGAAAAACTGCCCAATAAATGTCATCATGCAAAATTATCCTGTGTAACTAAAGTATCACTGTAAATAAAATTTCACCTATCGTTTAATTGAACATTATCCTCTTGCAAAAGGCTTAGCAAAAAATGTTCAGTGAGTATCACTCTTTGTAAGTATCGCAGATACTAAAGGGATCATTGTGGCATTTCCTTATTTTCCATAGGTAATTAATTCCTTCCTGTATTTCCTTGAATTTTTTTTGTTTTTACATTTTGGAAAGTGATGAAATTGAAGCTGTACTACCTACCAACTCTTACCTTCTCTACAGAAGACATTTTTGTTTAGTACTACACAACATGAAGAAATTCACAAATATTTCTATTTTTTTAGTATTTAAAAGTTCTAGATAAGATGTGCACCAAGTTCTTTGTGTATTTGAGTAACACAAAGTGCAAGTCCATCAAAAAAGAAGAGGACCCACCTCTTCTTTTCCTTTTTCCTCTCTTTTCTTTCCCTCCTTCATAGGAAAAAGAGGTGGCAAATATTAACTCTACAATCAATCATTTAAGATTAAAAAATTATAGGAGGGCTTAGCTCCCTTTCAGTAGACTGTAACATATTTGTTCTAAATGATTATAATCAATCTTCAAATTAAACTTAGATACTGCTTATTGTTTCTCTAAACACTCATTAAACCTATAGGTTTTGTTGTTGCTCAGAGGCTCGCTGTGTTTTGTAACTACTACTGAACTATGAATAGATCAAATACAATAGAATTTTTCTTCTCTGCTCAGGAATCTAGTACTTGGAACAATATGTGAACAGGTTGTAATTAAAAGTTATCTTATAGTTAGATAGCACAGAACAGCAGAAACAATAAGTGATTTCCTGAATAAGAAAGGGTCATTTAAAACAGCTGTATCTGAAGTGCCAGAAATTGAAAATTACTTCTGGAACACAAAGGAGCATGAGGTGTTTGAAGATAACTCTCAATTATACTAACATATTTCTGAAGAATAATTCTGATGATAGTCACTAATGTTTTGCTCCATAAGCAAAAAACTTATGTGCCAAACCATTGTGTAGGGCGCATTGGTCTTTACATATCATCTTGTCCATGTGTCAGGAAAAAAACAGTCCTCTTGGAGGAACTATAGTTTGATTTTTTGTAAAGTACCTGGTATGTGTACTTTACCATTTAGGAAAACAATTATAATAAAGCAATTTAGTTATTTAAGCTTGTGGTTTCTCTCAAGTACTTGTTTACTTTTTGCACTATAAAAGTATATTCAGGGTTTGGTTTATTTGTTTTAGAATAAATTACTCCTTATCTAAAGTTTGGCAATGTAGTCAGTAGTTCTGTGTTTGTTGTTTACACAGTTTATATATGAATATCACCATTTGCTAACTATCTGGCCTCTACTGGGGAAAAAAAAATCTGTACTTGGTTAAGATTAATATGCTTCTCCACTGTTTTTGCTTTTTCCTTTTGTTTTTAAAGCATTTCATTATTCAAGTTTGTGGAAAACTTGTGAAAAAAGTTTGTGAAACTGTTACATTAAATTCACATGAATACATAAGTCAGTTACATGTTTGCAGAAAGCAAGGAAATTATGTTTGGTTTTCAACTACTATCATAGGCTTCAAGCTGCACAAAAGATCTTTTTTCCTCAAATGTTTTCTAGAGAAGAAACAATGCAGCCTGTTGGCAAGGACACAGCTCTACTCGGATGGAAGGAATACATCAGCTTATGAGATCAACTTGTACGGAACAGAAAGTTACTCAGAAGTTACTCAGAAAACTCTATGAAATGTTTATGACATAACTTCAATGTGTATCCCAGTTGATACATTCAGTAAGCTATGGCAAGTCCAAACTCATCCCCACACTGACTAGCCTCAGAAACTAATTGTTATTTGTACTTGATCCCTCAAGTAAGTCCTTATACTCAGCACTTACTAAGTAATAATAGCAGAAATTACAAATCAATTGTGGCTCAGGATCAGCGCTGGTATCTTGAAACACTAGTGAAGGCAGTAAAGGTAGTAAAACAGAAAGCAGCTTGGGATTCACAGATGGCACTGTTTTGCATTCAAAGGCCATCTGGGACACAGCCAAAGACTAAGTAAAAGCAAGTGATCAAAGAGATACAGTGTCTAACAGAACAGATAAGGAGTGTCTTCTGCAGGTCTTCTACGATTTCCTTGTCCTACATGTTCAGGTCTAAATAGCGTTTTACTCCAAATAGTTAAGAAATGATGGTTTTGAGAAAATCTTTTTTTTTTCACTCAGATATGAGATGATACTGCTAGTTGTATATAGACTAATGTATGACTTTAATTCACAAATACAAAAAAACCCCTTCATTTACTCTCTTTTTCCAGTGGAGCCGCACTTTGTCTAAGCCTTACTCCTGCCAGCATAAACCCTGGTTTTGAGCTCAGATGGCGAGAAGTTCAGAATAAACTCAGCAGCAGCAGAAAGCACTGCTGATGCCTCAAGAGCAAAGAATCCTGGCCAGGAAAATGCTATACTTGCACAGCTGGGAGATGTAACTCTGTACTGAATCACAGAATCACAGAATGGCTGTGGCTGGAAGGGTTCTCTGGAGGTCATCTTGGTCCAACTCCCCTGCTAGAGCAGGATCACCCAGAGAAGATCACACAGGAACGCGTCCAGGCAGGTCTTGAATGTCTCCAGAGAAGGAGACTCCACAACCTCTCTGGGCAGCCTGCTCCAGTGCTCTGGTACCTTCACAGTAAAGCAGTTTTTCTTTATATTAAGTTGAACCTCCTGTGTACTAGTTGAGACCATTAAGTTTGTAACAATTTGTGACCCCTACGTTTGTGACCTACTGTGACCAGTAGTTTTTAAACAAATAAAGGCAGTATAATCTGGTAACAAATGTAGTAAGGACAAATACCTTTTAAACAATTAAGAGAGCTGTGAAGAGTAAGCTAATGCTGGCAGACTGCTGGGAGAAGGTCACACAGCTTTATTTTTTCTCCTTTACAAGTTCCTCATTTACTTACATGTTAGTTAACTGCTGCTTTATTAAAAATGCAGATTTAAACTCCAACTCTTGAATCTCTTTCAACAAACATTCCCTAGAATGGGAGTGGTGGTAGACAGCATTTTTGGAAACAGAAGTGTGAGAATGTTACATAACAACTTAAAGCAAGAGCTAAATGTTTTGGGAACAAGGGAGGCAAATGAAAGTAACTGCAGCAAAAACCCTCTGCCACAAAGGCAAGTGGAAATACTGGAAAGGAACACAAAGTTTAAATATTGGCAAATGAGATAACTTATATTTGCCTTACAGCCTGTGGTTAGATAAGAAGAAAAAAAAAGTTACTAGATTGTGCCTAAAGAACTAAAAAATATTGCTGTCATAGAAAAAATTAAGCCTTTTAGAGATACCCATTTCATAAAAGAAACCAACAAGAGGGAGAAATGTCTGACGTTCTTATAACACAACTAAGGCTTAAAAATAACACTGAATTGCAAAGACTTCATAGACTATGTAAGTCAAAATAAAACCCCCAAAACCTAAGTACTATTGGACGACTCCCATCTGAAGCTAAAAACAGCAACCAAAATATCACAGAATTGTCAGACCAGAAGAAAGTCTGACTGCAAGTTCAGAAGGAAAGACAAGTTCATACTAAATGGACTGGGTTTCCAAACAACCTCTGACAAATATGCAGGCACAAAACAAAACTGAAGAGTACAAATTCCACAAACAAGAGTGATCTTGCAAGAGGCAGCATAAAAGACTGACCAAAGTGTGGGAGAAAATGCAGCCATAAATCGTATGCAGCCTATTTGGATAGAGCTACCACATTTGTAAAAAGTAAAAGCATTTTGGAAAAATAACAAGATGTACCAAAAGAAGCTGCAAGATGCAGTTATCTCACACATATCAGTAGAAGGTGAAAGGTTCCCTTCAGTACAAATGAAACTTTAATAGTAAGTCGATTTGAATACAGGTTCCTGATTTAATCTGCCATTACAGACAAGGAATTTCAAGCACAAATTTGGTCTTGCAGTTGAGTCTTGAGCACTAACTAACTAACTAATGGTCAAATTGTTAAGGAGATGGTTTCTGCTGTGCTGCAGTATATTAACAAGATTGAAGATCATTCAAAACACTGAAAAGATAGTTTTGTAACTGTTACAAGAAATGGAATTGCTAAGTGAAGCCTATACTTGTTTGCAGAAGGTGAAAAATCTACACATTTTTGAAAATTAGAATTTCCACTAGCCAGAAATAAATCCACTATATACTAATCTCTAATTAAAAAAAGAAATCCAACAAAACTTAGTTGTGAAATATGATGCCTGTCTATGACAACAATAGATATCAGGACACAGATCGATTATAGTGTAAATATTTTGGAAAAAAGTAGACTATGTTCAAGCTATGCACAATCTTGGGGAAAATGATGCCACATGAGCAAAACACACAAGTTCAAGCCATGCCTACTGATAAGAAAAAATCCCTTGAAACACACACTAGCACTGGATGAAAAGATGTTTAACAGGCCTCTGAGAATTATCTAACCAACTGTGTAACCTCAGTGTTAAGTACTGCCCTGCAATTTTTATAAACATTAGGGATAAATTATTATATAAAATAATTATGTGCAGCCTGTTTTTGTTTCAAGAGTGGTATGAGTTAGTCCTCACAGTTACTGAATGGCATATTAGCCTTCAATTGCAAAACATGGAGTCCTTTGGAGAGGCTCCTTTTTCACTATGATGTGGCCATTAAACAAGGACATAAACAGAAATTCAACTTCTTCCACAGAGGCAGATAAAAATGAGCCTGAAGAAGAACACCATGAAGCTTTGCAGGCTCAAGGGACTAATGAACTTAATTCAGGGACTAAAACCCATGAATAAACTAAGACCACCAACACATGAAACACCAGCCCAAAGACTAATTTGTTGGTATCTCTGTTGTATTATTTGTCTGCGTATAGCTTTTCTTCTGTGAACAGAGGCAGACTGCTATAACAAGTTAGTTCAACATAGTCGCTCTTACTATCAGCTGCTGGTACCAAATTAAGAGGAGAAACATAGACCCCACTCCTGTTTTGCAAATGATTTTTTCATTCATTAGTTAAGTTCTCATTTTAATAAAGATTACTTTTAGATACAAGTTTTGATCCAAAGTTCTCCTTCACCACAGCCAATGAGCAAGAATTTCCTGAACATTAACTCTGTTCCTCAATCCATACCCTCAAAAGCACATATTCATGAGAGGGAGTTAAATGAGATTTTTTTATTTTGTTAACTAAGTAAGAAGGTAAAATTAAAAACTGTTAGTTCAGAAACATTGTTATAAAGTGTTTTGGGATTATACTTAAATTGTTGGGGTTTTTTTCATTAACTTATTTTAATTACCAAACATTCTTAAACCCGAATACCATATATGATAAGAATGACAAAATTTATAATAAAAAAATATGCACGGGGAAAAAGAATACATTTTTGAAAGCACAAATTTACAGTGGCAGAGAACAGATGGAAAGAAATTCCACCATTTAGGTGTCATGGATGCAAAATCTCACAACCTGTGTAATAGGGATATGGCAAGAAGTTGTGAAATAAAAATAAGGTGGATTAAAATTGAAATTATAATTTTAGATAGGCAGGACAACATTAATATTTAATACTTTGAATAGTAATATTTTGAAATAATCCTCCTCCAAGTGTCAAGGTTCTGTGTGATCTTTTAGCAGTGCAGGTTCACTTGCACTTAATCATAAATGCTGAAGCAAGTTTAGATTGGATCTGTCTTCAATTCATATATCTCTATAATTGAAGCCAAATTTGAATATACAATGCATAGTATGCCTACATCAAGATTTTAAATTCGTTTGAAGTACTTAATAAAAATGTAATACTTTGGGAACTTACACAACACACACCATTATCTCCTATTCAAACACAGCTGTTTCTTTTACTATCCAATGCCACCAGTAAGTTGGTTATTACTAATCAACCTATGTGCTACTCCTGTAAAAAAACCAAAACCTCTCAATTTTAGTCCCTGAGAGACTACCATACCTCTGCGAAGAGCTGTACAGCAGAGGTTGTACAGTCTGAGCTTAAACCCGCTAATTTGCAGTGATTTTGATCACAAGAAAAACGGGGAGATAGTACAGAAAAGTGCATTAGTTAAATAAGATTTAAATTAACTATTAAAAAGGAATGGTAAATTACTCTTAATAGATAATTTTAATCCTTTCTGAGACACATTAAGCAACTACAGAAGCTATTAAATGCTTGGAACAGGCTGTACTTAGATGTTGCAAACTTTATTCCAATGCATATTTTTTAAGAAAAGGTTAAATGGATGTGGCCAATGCATGGATATACTTGATTCTGCCTGAGAGGCTTCAGCTTCATTTCTCGAAGCACATTCTAGCCCTAGGTTTCTCTCATTCTGTGAACATCTGGAATTCAGGTTTTCAATAAAGGGGTTGAAGACACACACTGGGGAGATGTGACATTAAAAGCTTTGGATGCATGAATCAGGCGCATACTCTACCTGCTCCCACAACCAGTATCTTGGGCTCACAGCTACTGACACAGTGCAGGAGAGACCTGGAGCGAATATTGAAGTTGAGGAAAGCCACCACACAGCCCAGCTTGGCCAGCCCGAACCACACGTGGATGAAGTCTGGCTCGTTGTCCATCAGCATGGCCACTGTGTCGCCCTTCTTCAGAGCTCCATGGTGAAGGAAGACCTGCGCCACTCTGTTACTCCTCCTGTCCACATCCCGGTAGGTGTGCACCTTCCCTTCGTAGATGAGGAAAGGCTTGTGGGGCTGCTTCTCAGCCAGCTTCACAAACTTGTCCAGGACTGTGACAATCCTCCCTTGCTGCCGGTACATCTCCACTCTCAGCCCATATATCAGTACTTTCAGCAGGTACCCCAGGTCAGCCCAGAAGTAAGGGAAGAGGATTTTCTGTATGAGGTACAAGGAGAGCATTCCGACAGCAGCACCCGGTACCCAGGAGGGCAGCATTGGGACTGGAGAAAGATCGTCCCAGCCACCCAATTTCCTTCTGCCAGGCGGCTTGACACACGGAGTTAGGATGCGGAGAACAGCCAGGCAGGGCGCGGAGTCTGAAGGCAAAGTCGACAAGGGCTGAGACTTTTCCCTCCCGCTC